TGGGGGTGGGGGTGGGACGCCTGCCTGTAAGTGTTGGTGGCTGTAAGATCGTAATGAAATATGTAAGTGATAAAGCTATGTGAGGACTATAATTTTTTTTAAAGCACGTAAAAAACGTGGCAGGTTGATTAGACGAGAGTTATAGTCAAACGAGGAAATAAGAAGGCCATAAAACTTGTCTGCAACAAGGTATTCTCGAGAAAGGAGCCGGCGTTCATGGTGTAGCGGCTAGGCTTTCCGCCTGAAGTGCGCAAGAGACGCGAGTTTGATTCCAGCGTGGGGGAGAGTTTCATGGAGTTTCTCCGTCTTTCTGTTGGGGTGTTTGTTAGTCCCTCTCAGTCCAGGTTGATCCCGACGGACAGCTTGGGTCGAAGCTACCTGCCTCCTAGTAAATGTTCAAAGTGGGTGGTTAGCGGGTGCTCTAGTGTGGTTTGCTCCTTCTTTCCTATAAAACATCTATCATCCTTATCTCTCCTTCTCCTTTTTTGGTGTATTTTACTCTCTTGTAACACATGTAATCTTCGGCACTTATATGACCTTATTTTGTGGCAAGTGCCGTAAAACTCTTACTAAAACGATCAAAATTGTGTCACTGGGGGTTTAAAACTTATATAATTACAATTTGCATGTCTCCCACTCAGACTAGGTTGGCCTGTACGAGCAGCCAGCCTTCTAAATTAGTCGGATTATGTTTATATGGAACCTTAAACATATCTCTAGTCATTGCTATCAAACTAAGACTAAGACACTTCTTTTTTGTTCTACTATATTTCTCCGTTTCGTGTTGGCCCCATCATGACTTTAGTTGAGCATAGGCTCACGACGTCGTGGCCTTCTATTACTTCTAAACTATCTAAATTGTATCAATGGGGGTGTACAGCTGCACTTAGGAAGAGTAACTGTGACGCCATCGTCTGGTGTAATCGTTTACAGTACCGAATACAGTTATATGAGATAGACTGCATATCGTCAAAGATAGTAAATGTACTATCTTTGATATCGTCTCGATTTCTGATTACTAGAGCACTGTCGAATCAACATGAAGTTGATTTTTTATTCTAGTTTTTTTTTCTCCGGCAAATTCCAAACATAAAACTCCTAGGCGCAAAAAAGCACAATATAATAATATGCCCCCACCCTCGAGCACCTGAGGCAGAAAAGGACCGAGATAATGTGAGGATAGCAACAACCCAAAAAAATTGTCAGTAGACCATGTTGATATGTCCTGGCAAAGGAGCAGGAAAGACAGAGCTTGTTCACCCCCTACAATCAGCTTACACAAGTATAATTTTTTAAAGGAAAATATTTTTAAAAAATGCTGTTAGCGCAGTCCCAAGTCAGTTGAGAGTCTTTTATCATTCATCATTTTAACCGTGTAAGCTGCAAAAACACGACAATAAGATCGAGTATCGATACCATGATCAATGCCATCAAGACAAGGTATTTCCTTCTAAGCCCAGTCGCTGTTCCTCAGTCATCCGGCAGGGCGTTCGTTCCGATTTTCTTCACTGGTTTTGTTTAAAAAAAATGTGATTCTAGATTCTAAATCATTTCCGTTATCGTAACATCAAATGAAGTATGTGGCTCATTTTGCTGAGTACTATGATATAATGACAATCTTAATACAGTTGGCCTTAATACGATATTTGACAAGAGCGCGACAAGCAGTTTGATCAGTCTTCATACCAACTCTCTGCTATCAGTGCTAAACCTACCCATAACAAAACGCAGCAAATTAAAATAACAGCATCGGAATGAAATGTCTTAGAAAAACGATAAAAACATCACGAGAAGAGACAGACGAAGAAACGGAGTCATCAGATATCTCGTCGGCGTCAAATCGACTTTGAAATACATTGAGAGACAACACATAATTTGGTTTGAACACGAAATGAGAATTGGACCACAATAGCCAGCCTCAAAGGCCAGCAGCATGCGATTTGATAGCGTCAAGGCAAAGGGAAGGCCAAGAAAAGGGTGGATCGACGGAGTGAGAGAGACCTACAAAGGTACTACTTGGCGATCTGAACAGCAGCACGTCTGACTATTGCATATCCCCTCGACACCTGGCGGTATAAGAGGACAGAAAAAAAAAATATTAAAAAAAGGTGGATGGTTGGCGAGTACTCTGGTGTGGTTTGTTCCTTCTTTCCTATCAAACGTCTATCATCCTCATCTCTCCTCCTTTTTATATTTGTTACTTTCTTGGAACACATCTATTTTTCGGCACTTACCTAACCTTATTGAACCGCAACTGCCGTAAAACACTTAAATAAAACCCCTAAAAAAGTTTTTAAAAGTGAAGCACAGACAGTGGCTATGTCGGCGACGCGGGCTGACGTAGGCCAATAATCTCCAGCAATATCTCTCTGAACCCCGGCTTGAAGAAGTAGTAGACGAATATGTTGACGGAGGCGTTGACGTTCCCGGAGAAGAAGATGACGGAGATGACCGTGTTGTAGGCGTTGTGGTGGCGGGCGCCGAACATGATGTCCGGCACGGCGCGGCGGAGGTACACCAGGGACAGGCACACCAGGTTACAGCCCACGAAGATGACCGCGAGAATGGACACCATTTTGACCACTGTTTTGTTCTTGTTGCTGAGGGGGTTGGTCTGTGCTGGTTTTGTTGCTGTTGCTCTTTTGGAGATGATTTTGTTATGTCTGGTGTACTGGAGCGTAGAAACGACGCCATGGGCGCTGTTCTGAAAAGTAGAAGTAGCCACGTCCCGTCCGCTATTTTGAAACGTAGATTCTACGCCATGTCCAGGTTTTGGGAGAGTTGAATTCTTATCATGGTGGCTGTTTCGATACATAAAAGCGACGTCTTGTACGCTGTTTCGATATGTAGAATCTTCGCCATGTCCAGGTTTTTGAAGAGTTGAATCCTGGTCACGCTGGTTGTTTTGGTATGCAGAAGCGATATCTCGTACGCTGTTTTGATTCGTTGAATCAACATCATGTCCATTGTTTGGGAGTGTTGAATTCTTGTCATGTTGGCTGTTTTGATACATAGAATCAACCACTATTCCGCTGTTTCGAAAGGTGGAAACAACACCAGTTCTGGTGTTCGGCAGCGTGGAATCAGCGCTGTGCCCAATGTTATG